TCAAAATGCAAATTCGTTGTCACCCTTAAGGATTAACATGGAATGCTTCGATTCCAGTAAAAAGGGTCTCCGGTTCGGTACGACACACAGCAGCATTACGCTGCCATTTTATGCTGGTATTCTGTGAGAGCGTATTTCAGCCCCGGTCGAGCCGACATATTCATGCTACCTACAACTATAATATAGCTGCAGCGTCACTCTACCACATAAAAAATATTAAATTATATATATATATATATATATATATATATATATATATATATATATATATATCATATTTGTGTGTATTCATATATGTTATATATGTATATTTCATATTTGTATACAAAATATGTTATAGGTACATATTGGGTGCGTTTGGCAGAAAAAAGCGCTAGCAAGCCCTTACAAGCGCTGAAATAGTTTTCAGCCAGGACATGATTGCTACTTCAGTAGCGCTGACACAATCCGCCATTTTGCTTATTTAATTTGTTTGTATTGAAGTAGAGTTTATAAGTTGTTTTGTGCAATATTAGTTTTAAGTAATATAATGACATGAATAAACATAAGTATACATGTTATTAAAAATTCATGATTGGTAAGTTTTTAATATGAATACTTTACAAACATATATTTAAATTAGGTTAGGTTCCCCGGTTAAAACTAACATCGTGTCCTGGAGGAAAATAGCTACTTACGATTTGACAGCGCTTACCGCTTACGATGGCCATTTTCCTTACAAGCGCTTGCTAGCGCTTTTTTCTGCCAAACGCACCCATTTCTAATAAACTTGTTAATTAGGCAAAAGTTACTAATCTCTTGCAATTACACTCCACTCGCTCACTGCAGGGTTCTCAAGTAATAGTGTAGGCACATTGTTATTTTATCTTAGAGAAGTAAGGGTACTACAGTCCACCTGATGGTAAGTGTTTGTTGTGACCTATAGACATCTACATTCATTCTCAGTTATGAATCAAAATACAGATAAGTGATCACCCCTTAATTCTAAGAATCGACCGTAATTAAAGTCTTCAGTTCTCACCACTCACCATACGAAACACAGCAGCGTTATGCTGCTATTGTACGCTAGTTTTCAGGGAGAATGTGGTCCTGGTTGAGCCGTCCCATGTATGTTGCTATCACGTGTTTAATGTTCTTATATCAATAGTAATGTTTAGATCAACAATGGCAAGCGTCGCAAAATATTCGATCACATATATACATATATCTGTGCTACATAACAGACAAACCTTGCCAGCAACGATCCCAATGTCAAACAGTCGGCCACGCTCCAAATATATTTACAGGAGATGATAGTCATTTGAATAGTTATTTTTTTCTAACACCGCATCAAAAACAACCTTAAAATATTTAATTAACTAAGGTGATTTTATAATTTAACAATGAAATTGTAATTCCCTTCTGGTCAATAGTTTCAACAATTCACAATAATTATATCGATTGCTTGTTTTACAGCTACATTTTAAATTTCAATAAAACTGACGCCCGCGTCGCCTAATAGTAAGAAAGCCTTACTTGCTTATGGGTCTTGTATTTAAACACTTGCATAAGCCAAAATATGTGTAACTGTAAACTAAGTTATATTGTCAATATTCGAAAGTTGGTCACCATCTTCATGATTGTTATAAAGATATATTCGTAAATAATAAATGGTCGCGAAATATTTAATCAAAATTAAGAAATTATTTGTATCTTGTTCTCTAATAAATCCAATGGATGTTAAAAGTGACGATAGAATGAAACAGGAGATGGGTATGAAACAAGATAGTGATATCTTCTTAATAATAAGTTAAAGTAATAAAAAAACCTTCAGTTGCCACTCCACATCCCGTGGACAATAATGCAAATATCCCCCGTATGAGGCAATCATTGCGCAAGGTCGATATTCAGCACTTGGACTTTGGGAGGTTGTAAACGGAATAGATGAAGAATTCGCTTTCGGTTTCGATGGTAAGTAGTGTTGTAGCGAAAGACAACAAAGCGCCGAAAGTCCATTCATTCTTGCCTTATAGACACCCGGAAAGGCAGATCATGTTGAGTTTGTAAAAATAAAGATAATTTCAATTCCAGAGTATTCTATCCAAAAACGCAAACACATCTTTAATCCCCAGAAAAAAAATCATTTCCATACAATTTTTTTACGGAACGTGTAGTCTAGTAGTTACTAGTCAGAAACGTGACAACGAGGGCGTATTCAAATCCCAGCTAGAATATTTGTGCTAAAACACATATTTGCCGAATGATTTCTTATATTTACGCGAACAGTACACCTTAAATGAAACTAATATAAGACGCGTTTTATCGCGTCTTTTAACTTTTTGATTCCGGATTGTATTACAGCACCCATGGTCACGGGGGGGGGGGGGGTCAGAGGTGTTTGATGTCCCGATGTCATAGTTAGCGCGGCTACCTTCAGTTTTTGAATATTAATTTTTAGTCCGATCTACACAGAATGAGCTTACAGTATCTTGAAGTCTTTCAGTAGTATGCTTGGGTTTGGATTTATAATAATTATAGGATCCCAAGCAGATGGAGAGATGGAGAGAGAGATGAAATTAAGATGTTTTTAATTTCTATAGCCTCGCGAGACTATTAAAATTCTGGGCTATTAAGCACCCGAAACGTCGGAAATTAAAAAATTTGATTGTAAAAAATTAGTTTCATTTAATGTATTAGCCGACTTAAAGAGGGGAAGAATGTGCTCAATTCGACGGATAAAACTATGTTTTGTTTTTTCAACCGACTTCAAAAAAAGGAGGTACTGAATTCGACTGTATATTGTTTTTAATGTGTGTTACCTCAGAACTTTTTTGTGGGTGAACTGAAGATGATTTTTTTTTTATTTGAAAGCTGATGCTTCTGATGTGGTCCTATTTAAATTTACGCGATATCTTCGACAATTGTGAACTGATTTTAATTATAATTTCTTCTGGAATATGTTATAATTCAGAGTTTTTGATGTAATTATTTAGACGACATTTTGGTCATTACTTGCGATTGTAATATTGTCTTAGTCGGAGCTTTAATTTCATTTTTCTTGAATATTTTCCATCTAACGTTTAATTTGTGGTTTTCACGTGAGGTTATATTGTAATCGTTAGGAACAGCGTCAGTCACATTCATTCAAAGTATGACAGATAAATCTGAAAAGCAGTAGTCAATTCCTTTAAAGGAGATTTTTTATCGTTGTAGCACGAATGAAAGGACCAGGCCCTCACAGAATACCAGCGTAAAATAGCAGCTTAACGCTGCTGGGTTTCGTATGGTGAGTGTAAAGAACCGGAGATCCCCTTTACCGGAAACGAGGCATGCCATCTTAGTCCTCACGGGTGACAACGGATCTGTATTTTGATTCGTGCTCAAGGATAGATGTAGATGTCTGGGCTACAGTTACTTACCCTCAGGTGGATTGCGTGCTCGTTTGTCACCCTTATCCTATAAAAACAGAACATATGGATATGAATCTACGAGTAAGGAATTGGCCGGTATCACCAATATTTTACAAACCGGAAGAACCGGACTGGAAAGCATGTAAGCTTTTTTAAGAATTTAGCTTTGACTATTTAATTTCGTTTAGCATACAAATAAAATTATCATCGTTAAGTTCTAGAATAGGAATTTGGAACTTTCATAAGAAATAGTTTAATTGTGAGATAAATACACACAAAAAGGAAAAAGCATCGTTAGTGTCGAATAAAAATGCCGCAAATTTGTGTAGTACTGGGAGCTCGACCCGGGCAGCGGCCGCTATAAAAAGATCTTCATAATACGGTGGACGATGGCGGCTGTGCGACATGCAACCCTGGAAAGCGACTCGACTATGCCATCGAGTACTGTTGCCAAAATAATTAAAGAAATCTCCGTCGGTGTCCCTCCGCCGCGCCCGCGCCGCTCTAAAATCGTCGCTCTTTGCCCGGGAGTCGCTACTCGGGGCGCGGCGGGAAAACAGCTCCCGCGTCACTCTTATTTCTTCTTTCCTTCCCGAAGCTGTTGAAAAAAAGTTATTCAGTAAGTCCCTAATTTAAAATCCATAAAACGATTATACCGTGAGTGATTTAATATTTGCAGTGTAATACAGTGTTATAGACGTTTTAATGAAATTTAGTGTTGGTAATTAAGTGTGATAAAGTGTTACATAACGCATAGAAAATTATATAGCCGTTTTTAAATTTTAAAAATACCGCATTTTTGAGGCGCCTGTGGCACTAAAATAGCATTATATCACGTGGTACTATCTCAACCTATAGAATTGCTCCACATTTATTCATGATCATAAATTATATTTGTGATGTTACGTGAATAAAAGCAGTATAACTTTTTTTAAATCGTTTTATAGGTACTCTAGAATAGTAACTTAGTTTATTGTCTCTTATATAATCACATAAATTCAAAAAAGTCTTTTACTTGACTTTACTTCTTCGTGGCCTGTTTAACAGGTGGCGCTTAATTCAACTAGTTTTTTAACGTCAGTGTAGGAAAAAATGACGACTGGATTAAAGACGTGTTCGTGGAGTTTATGATATTTACGAGAAAAAGTATTAGCTTAGTACAAAATTTTATCTTTATTGTATGTAATTAGATTGAATCTTTTTGATTTAAGTGGATTATTGAAAAACATAATACCTTCTCATGAATTAAAAGATTTTGGTGAGTGTTTCTTGTCTTGATTATGTCAAACGGTACCTAGATAGGAAATCGCTAGTTATCCTTCTCAGTCTGTGTCCTATATTTCAAAATCACAAATCTTCAAATTAACCATCTGTGCCATGTTAGTATTTTGCGTCCGGATTGATCTCTATACCGTGAGAAATATCTTTCATGAGGCGGTTAAACGATATAGAGGTTAAATTGATACGTATGAAAAATATTTTACTTAGTGACTGAACCACGGTTAAAATATACTACGACGCTAAGAAAACAACGCAAACATAACCTCCAAAGCCTTCAAGTTGATAATGATGACTTGTCATTTCTAACCTAAATTCTTTTTTGGATTTTAGAACTGACGGCAACGTAAAAATTCCACCATGGAGGACGCTCACTCGAAATCCGTGGAAGAAGTCTTAGGATACTTCGGCACAGACCCAGATAAAGGTCTTACACCAGATCAAGTTAAAAGGAATCAAGAAAAATATGGGCCAAATGGTAAGTTATACTGTTTACTTGTTTATGTTTAATGTTTTATTTGAATTAAACCATTCAGAGCAGATTTTTAGAACTAAGTCTCCCTATAGAGTGTTCAGAGAGCATTACTAGAATTACAATAGTTTTTGACGCATAAAACATTGAACAGTTCTAACAAAATAAAAGAAATCATTAAAGTTGAATTAACACTACTACTAATACTAAACTACTAGCACTCCGAAATACTATTGAACTTATTGGTCAATGTTAAAAGTTTATACATGGTTATTTTTCAAAGAGTATCCAAATTTAAACTTAAGTTCAAATATATAAATAATGATATAATGTTATTGCATTTTTTGAAAATACAAGTAAATAAGGCATCTACTGTTATTTGAAACTATCCCAAATTGAATGTGGTTTTATGAGCAACATCATTTTTGTCTACCAACCGACGCTTATGATTGTGTGAGTGTTCAGTAAATTCAGATAAAATAAAAAAAGAGTACCTTGTAATCTGACAAATTAGAGATCCAATGATAAGATTCTATATGTTATAGTTTGTGCCAAATCGATTGAGAAAAACGGACAATAACTTTACATTAGGAAATAATTGTGTACATACAAATGTGTCAAAAATTATGAATCAAGCAATTTAAGAATCCTCAATTTAAGTGCATTATCAAGAAGCAATAATGCTTTTAACAATTGTCACAATCAAATTTTTCAATCAGAATCAAAACAGTACCCTACATATCAAGCACAATAGTAGTGGTGCGTAAAAGTTTTAACTTGTTCAATTACGCATTAGCGAAGATTGTCAAAAAAATATTCGGTAATAAATAATAGACCATGTCGGATTACAGGGGGTGCCGGATTAGACACAGGCTGGATTGCCAGAGATCCACTTTATTGTCCTTTGAACAGTTTATTTATGCCAACTTTTTATTAATTTAGAAGTGCATGTTGTTTGGTAGGTAATTTTTGACATATTAAATATATTATATTACAACATTTTAAATAGGCATCCTATGCAACAAATTACTCAAGTGATAATTCACTTAAATCAACCTACCTATAAATATTCTGATGATTTGGAGAAAAGGAAACAACAGGTTTCATTTTATTTTTTACTTCATCTACAATATTCTTATTGTTTTATTTTCATCTTCATTTTTTAATTCATTTTTTTCTATAGAATTAGGGTGACAAATGAGCACAGTCCACATGATGGTAAATGAATGCTGAGGCCTATAGACATCTACATTTGTCCTCAATTGAAAATCAAAATGCAGATGCGTCTCTGAGCTCACCGCTGAGGACTAAGATAGAACGCCTCGTTTCCAATAAAAAAGTCTCTCCAGATTTCTACACTCATCATACGAAACACAGCAGCTTTAAGCTGCTATTTTACGCTGGTATTCTGTGAGAGTGTGGTCCTTCCCCTGTCGAGCTGACCCATTCGTGCTACAACCATAGCTGCAGCGTGGCTCTCCCACTTAAAAAATCATTTCTAAATATCATATCTAAAATATTTAAAGATCGCTTACTGTTTCTTAATAAGGCCTAAATCATTGTTTAGACTCCATTTTGAATCAATTTCATCAAAAAAGATATATAACATATATATATCCTACAATAATATATTGCTGACTGCCTTATTGGTCTAGTGTTCTTAAAAAATCTTAAACATATTTAAGAAAAAGTTTCACACTTATTAATTGCAAAATACAAAAACATGGAAAAAGATACATATTACTCACTCACACTATATTACGCACTCATTAGTACAAAACGTCTACAGGTATGATTAGAGGCTATTTTCTTTTGCATAACATTGTTCAAATCCTATTTATTGTATTATTCATCCACACAATAAAAGCAACATATAATTTTTTTTTACACTTTCTACATGGCATTTTCTACTAGCCAACATGAAAGTTAGTAGGCAGAAAACATAGTAGTATAAAATGCATGCGGCAGGACTTATGCAACTTCAATACACCAAACAAAGATCATGTATATCGTCTATGTGACACCTATAGCCGATAGTTCTTGGGAGCCCTAAGCTCGAAGTTGTAGACGCGTATGTTTACCTCTGACAAATAGTCTGACTAGGTAAGTCAAACTTCAACCAATAGGTCAATTGACAGATTTAACTTGGCTCGACTTCGGCTTGGCAGCCTTATTGGTCTAGTGGCTGCAAATCCGATTGCCAATCATGTTGTCTCTTATTCAAACCCTGGGTTTATCCAAAATCAGTTATTGGATATTTCTGTCAAAAATTCTCAATCGCAGCCCAGATTCAGGAAGTTGGCAGGGTTTCACACCCGTGCCTTGGAAAACCCGTAAAACCGTTGGCCCTGCAACTGACCCCATCTCTAGACTATGAGAGTGAAGGAATAGAGAATGCTACCTGTGTTTAAGATAAGATAAGGAAGGGCTGTTTTCTGCTACTCCATGTCTTAGCTCGTATTTTGCATGTGGGCAGGAATAATGCAATTATTTGAGCCAAGTGCACCTGTGCTCGCATGTTCACTCGGACACTATAATCCTATTTGGCTCTGATAACTTGTTACTTTTATACTTTATATAAAATAAGTAATGCTGCTGTGTTTTGTATGGTGAATGTAGAGAACCTTTTTACGAGGCATTCCATCTTAGTCCCCAGGGGTACCAATGCATGTGCATTTTGATTCTTTATTGAGGTTAATATAGATGTCTATGGGTGGACTGTGTGCTCGTTTGTCACCATATATTATGAAAAAAAATCTTAAACATGTTTAAGAAAAAGTTTCACACTTAATAATTGCAAAATACAAAAATGCAAAAAGATAATATTACTCACTATTATTTACAAAAACATCTACAGGTATGATTAGAGGCTATTTTCTTCTGCATAACATTGTTCAAATCCTATTTATTGTATTATTCATCCACACAATAAAAGCAACGTATAATTTTTTTTTACACTTTCTACATGGCATTTTCTACTAGCCAACATGAAAGTTAGTTGGGCAGAAAACATAGATAAATGTAGATAAATGTAGATAGCCTGAAAGGAGTGGCCTTTGTTGTTTATATAACCATGCATAAAATCCTAATAGCTAATATTGTTATTCTTTGTGTGTATAGCAAAGGGGTGAAATAATTTAACAGTGTTAGTTTTTATTTATTGTAATTATTCATAACACAATGAATTACCACAGAGCCATAGCTCGGAGGTTTAGCGGCCGCTGTAATTTTCACAGTACATGAGCAATATAGGTTCAAACCCCGTGGGCACCAATGAAATTGTTAGTTGCAATTTTAAGTGCTGATTTATCACATTCTCGGCGGTAAAGCAAAACGTGTATGTCTGAGCAATAAAACAAAAAAGATATTTCTAAGACATGTGAAGTGCGCCGACACGTATTGCGCCGCCACGGCGGACATTTCCTTGCCCTAAAACCCTCTCAAAAATGAGAGGAGGCTTGTGTCCAGTTGTGGGACGTATGTAGGCTATAATATTAACCACAATGAATAAATTAAATTGATTTTAAGACGACAAATCGAAAAAGTGGCTCCAGGCTATCGCCCTACTGATCCAAGTGAATACATAATTTCTATAAAAACTAAAACGCCGTCATAAGGTCTAAAATTGCGTAGCGCCCGCGACGATTAAAACCGCTTAGAGATTGTCAGAATCTTAAAATATTTTTTTTTAAATTATTGATTTAAGTAATCAAAATAATGAGCAAGTAAATTATGAATATTGATGTTATGAATATATTTGAGTGATTCCCAAGCATATAGATTAAGTAATTTCGTTGTAATTTCAACTATGGTGATTTTTTAGAGGTATTTTCACAAATAATTATGATCGAGTCAAAATTATACAATCGTGTTTTTGAACAAGCAAATTCAAGATAAAGACATGAATTTACCGATATCAAAACTCCACTTTCGTTAGTGGTGTCATAGTCCTATACTATTCGATGGAAGGAGGTGCATTTTTTCGCGGTGTCGCCTTAATTACACATGTGTGTATGTATACACACCTGTAAGTTAGTCTTTAATATTTTTTATATTTTATATTAATTGACTTAATATTTGTTCATGTTGTCTCGTGTTTATTTGTATGTATCATAGAAATAATCATTTACATTTTTACTTTATTAGCAATATAATTTAAAAATAGAAAAAATTCAAGTCAGTGATTCTATGTTATATTTTTAAATATGGAAAGCTTTAACAAATTCAAAATGTTTACAATAACACGCTAGTCACGACCAAATGTATAAAAACCCACCCTGAAATATTTCCTGCTGAAAGTACACCTCGTAGTATGTGTCTCATCGCATTTACCCTTACAACATTGTTTTACTGTATAGCTAATGGTATCTTTGTACAAAAAAAATTAGAGCATTGATCATGGTCTTTTTAACAAATCCCTTTAATAAAACTGTCCAAACACCAAATGTCTCAACTGTTGATTAGCCTATTTTGGAGCTTATATTACTACTTACTATTCTCCCTATCCCAGACTACTACTAGTACTACTAGATTGATCCATTGTGGCCTTTTCCTATTCCGTCACTCCAACTAGCAATGGGGTATTCCATGTTATCATTTATGGTAACAAAGCAATTTCATTTAGATTCTTCATTGACTTCCGGGTCTAAATGTTTATTTAAAAATTTATGTACGTAAAACATTTTCCGATGCAGAATAACGGATGTCGTCATAATCCTTTATTGAATCCTGATATTTGAATTTTAAAATTTATTTTCTAGTCGACATAATTGTACAGTAACACTAATTAAAATAAATCTATGAAATTAATGATAAGTAGGTCAGAACTACGCATTGAAATAATTATGATGCAAAAATTCTGATAAATAGGTACACACATACCATTTATCACACTTAAATGGCATTGGCGGAAATCGGATCGGATGTTATTCATTATTATTTGACCGTGTGGTGGTGGTGTAATATCCTAATCCCTATCCTAATATCTACCACACAATTTCTTCGTA